GGGATTGTTGACTCTCGTTATAATTTCTGCTGCGTAATACAAGCCACGTAATATAAGAAAAAAGCAATAATGTCTTACACATACATTTGTTCACGCTCAATAGCTTTCAAACCGGTTCAAAAAACAAGATATACCTAAAAATGTTTCTTCTTTTTACAAATGTATTATATAAAAATGTGTAACTGACATTAATTCATTGAACGATTTAAAATTATAAGTAAAACAGATAATGTTTAAGTACGTGGTATATTAAAAACAGTTGGTGATGAAATGGTTGGTTATCAAGCTAATTAAGATTCTACCTTCGCATGTCGGCTGATATATACGTAGAGAGGCATTCAACTTGATCATCGATCATCGTACAAAATATCAAAGTGCCATTCTTAGAATTATAATTGGATAAAAATACAATAGGATCTCATCGTTCATGTTAAATGCTTTTATCTTATAATATACTTGATATGAGATATCATATACGACGAGAAATATACACGGAAAGACGGTTTTGTTGCAGTATCATCAAAATAATTGTGTAGGACGATTAAGCTGATTGTTAAAAGGTCAAAATTTTTATTCGTCAAGCTTGAGTGTCCTAAATATTTTGATGATACAACAAGATTTTCTCAAATATCTGGCTAAATTTTTGAATACGTCCACAAAATCGATCTTTCCGTATACATTTGGATTAATTTTTCCGCGTTTCTGATTTCAAGATTATTAAATCTTTTATATTTTTATAAATTTTTGGTTTTCTGCTAAATACACTGAGAGAAATGTTTGATAACCATTTATTTTATTGATATGACTAAAATAAATTTTCTTATTTTTTCATTTAAAAATTATACTGTTCTAATCAAAATTTGTTTACACTAAATTTTGATTAGAACAACACAATTTTTAAAAAGGGAGAAAATTTTTGTTAGTCACTTATCAACAAAATAAATAGTTATACTCACCAAAACATTTCTTTCACCATATAATTTTCTACAATACGTCCTTATAGGCGTCAACGACAATCCTGCTATCACTTTTGTCGATCTTCTATCCCGAACCTCTCATCTGTGCAGCTTCCCCTCGAGAATGCGTTGGCGGTGCAGTCACTAAACTTTCTCGCGATATCCCTTTCCGCGATAGCAGATGGTCTGCCTTACGTCACGGCCGTTGTGAGGTCACCGACCCTAGACATGGCGAGTGCAATTACTAGCCACCACGTATCTGCGGCTTTTATGTGCAGATAAAAACGGTAGGCAGTAGGAGTTCCTCCAAAGGCGAAAATGAAATAACAAGAACGCTCCGCCCGCGGGTTTCTCTTCAAACGACCTCGATCGTTCAACCACACAGAAGGAGAAAGCAATGCGCTCTTCTGCCTCTTTCCTATCTGTGTTGCGGTAACCCGCGATTCGTACAATGAAGCACTCGATTATCCAAACGAATTCCTCTGGCGTTGCTCGAACAATTATCCCTTAGGAAGTACGTACGCCATTGCGCTGAACTATTTCTCTTTCTGTCCAAAGAGAAAAAGAGAAATTTAGACGAGACTTGTTATTACGAAATGTTTGAAGTGTTCGTTAATTTAAAGGAATTTTGTTTATTTGGTAATGTTTACACTGAAAAGTATGGAGTGAAATAATTTCAATCAAATGTTCAGTAATATAACCAAAAATATTTTTTATTTTTCTAAATATTTAACAATTATTACTAAACGATTTTAACAATTATTAATAAACGATTTGTTATATTATTATATATTATGTTTAGTAATACTTATTAAATATTTAGAAAAATTATATTTTATTATATTAACCAAATATTTGATTGAAATTATTTTATTCAACATTTGGTAGCTATTGCTAAACCTTTTTTAACATATTAATTTTAGACGAAGTTAATAATTTTTATTAAGATTTTAATTTAATACGAAGTATTATTATATTATTATCGTATTGCTACTGATACGAGAAAATATCATTCAATTAAAATTTAATATTAGTACTTAAGAGTTTTATTAATACAATAGAGTTTTAGAAGTAAAAAATGAATAAGATGATAATTAAGTACACTGCATAATAATATCTTTCTGTTATAGAAATATGACAGTGTAGAGCAAGGTGACGATGTAATTGAATCGAGAAGTGCCGCTCTTAATTTTATTGCGGTAAATATACAACAGATAAGTCGCAACATGCAAAACGCATTCGCGATAGCGAATTAAAAGCTGTCATTAGTATCATTGACGCTTCCGATTGGCTGTTGCGAATACGAGTGCAAATGCTTTTTTGTGTGCCACGACTTATCTAGACGGGGCTTTACAGTTGTTTATTTAGTTATGTCGACGTATAATCGTGGTGTGCGCGTGCTCTTACGCATCAGATTTCGTAATTAAAGCGTAGTAAAGATACACGTCACGATACACCCACTTTTCCTCGAACTGCGATTGGTCCATCGTAAACGATCCGTCGAGGACGAATTCGCCAGGGCCGACAAACAAGTTTGTTTTTCAACTCGTGACTTACTTCCCGATGCATCACAGTGTCCGTGCCAGGAATTTAAAAGTCGATAAAAATGATGGATATGTAGGAAGAGATAAAAAGTGTTTTTAATAAATTTTGAATAATATCTAAGATATAAACGATAACAAAATTACTGTTCATTACGTCGCTTGTTACTTCTGGTACTAAGAACCGAGTCATTTAGCAAGAAATTAATTTACATATTCTGCTTGCTCTGGTAAACATATACGACGCCTGTACAGTTTTTATTGCACAATAATCTAGGAATTAGAAATAATAAATATGATGAATGAATGATATAGAAAAAATTATCATGCAAATAAATATTCATATAATAATTTAAATAGTAAAGGTGAAGAGAGAAATAAGAAATTAAATAATCTTCTAACTTTGTAAAAATGTTTAATAACGTCACACTTAAAGTTTTTATATTTTGATAAAAATTAACCAATACGTTTTTGATTGTATTGTAAAACTAATTAAATTTCTATAAGTTAAAAGATTATTTAATTTCTACTCTATCATCTTCTTATTGTTTAAATTATTTTATATATATATATATATATATGTATTATTCATATATAATATAATTTCATTATCATTAATTTGATGTTCATATTTATTACTTTTTATTTCTATAATATTTTGCAATGTAAATTATAAAACGTTTTAATAAAATCAAAAAGTAATAAAATTTAAATTAAAAGTTTCTTTGATTTATTTTTAAATTAGTATTCGTGAAATTATGATGCAACTTGTATTCCAATTCCTCGTTGAAATCGAATGATGATCAAAAAAACGAAATTCATGAAATGTTAATTCAATTAAATTTTGCAATGTTATATTAATTGAGTTTTACAGTATAGAGAGCGCCACGTAACGAAGTCGATTCTGCGTCGATAACGAACATTAAAAAATCTCTGGGTAGAGATCGACTTTACCTGATTGTTAAATAGAAGTATTGGTCGGTATTCTTATAGTCTGTTTTTATTTCAAGACTATCTTAAACACTGTCTTAAGATGGTTTTAAGATGCTAAAACATTAATGTCGTTAGAATGTATTTCTTATTAAGAATGTATTCCAATATTTATTGTCAATACTGAAAATTTATAATTCATATTATTATAGATTTTCAGTATTGACTATGACTATTAAAAGACAGCTTAAGATATAAAGTACAAAATACTTTTCAATACTTAAATTTCTATTTAAAAGTGAAATATTTCTACCCACGAAAAATAATGCGTCCCACTGAATAAATATAAAGATAATTGGAAATTAAAGTAACAGTAAAAGTAAATTCGTTATTATTATTAGAGTAAAAATGTAACGATGTTACCATTATATGTATATAAAAGTAAGTAACGATCGTTACCAAAAACGAGTAAATTAACGATAACGATAACGGCGTTACAAGTTACAAGTAATGCGGTATTTTCCAATTCTGCTATTTTGTTTTAACGATTAACAATCCATGTTTACGTGATATTCAGATTAGATAATATTCAGATCAGACGATATACATATTGCTATTTCATATATTGATATAAAATGTAGAAAAGCTGCGTTTTGTATCGCGACATGATTTATAAATTAAAAAAATGGTTAACAAATACAAGCAATAAATAAAAGGAGCATACACCATCCGCAGGATTTACGTAACGCAATGTTATATATTTAAAATCTTTCGTTACCGAATTTTACATAAACTTTCTTGAGCGCATTCTTGTAACGATCGTGCAAATAAACGCAGGGGTATGTTAAATCAATACTAAATTTAATTTCAAACACATAATTCAAGAAACTTAAATTATATTAAATTAAACTTAGTCTGGAAATTGTGTCTACACAACGATCAAATTTAGTTTTGAATGTAACAACGGAAACTGAATTTAAAATATTATAGATAAAGAAAAAAATGTTAAATAAAAGATTGTTATCAGAGATGATTTACATAAAGAAATAGATACGAAGTTTGAATTTACAAAATAACACGTTATCGTCAGATTATTTGCTCGTTATATGTTAAGTTATTTAAAAGAACGTAATGCTTCTTTCTTGATGTTTTGTTTTTTGGTACTCTGTACAATTTGTTTTGTAACTTATTATGTGTCCATTGCTCGAACCATCAGCATCTTTATAAGAAGTCTCGTTTTTTTTGTTATGTAAGTTTAAATTTATTTAAAAAGAAATATTAATATTGACCAATTTTCTCACATTATATTTGTTTTAAATAGTAAATCGGACAATTTAATAATAATATGGTAAATCGGATATAAATAATAATAGTAAATCGGTCAATTTAATAATAATTTATAATATAATATATTACTCATGGTTCACACAACTTGTTTGACTTTATGTAAGTAACATTATTTTTCATAAAATTATGATTCTCCGACATAATAACAAAAAAATTATTAATTCTTATATATAGCAAATCGGATAATCTGATGACCAAGATTCGACAGTATTAGACATCTAATAGTTTGACCATTAATTCGGTAACAAAAGATTTTTTAAATGCATATATAGTATTGCGCTACATAAATATATGATTCATATTTTCATTTTATACTTTAAGTATTTCTGATAATATTGTTTGTTTTTCCTCTTATTCTTTATACTTATCATTAACTTGATGGCTGACGTGCGATAAAAATGTAATCTAAGTATATAATTTGACTCATGATCAACAAGATTAATAGAAAGAGTGGGGTTTGATATCCGATCAAATTTATTTGAGAAATTTATAAAGCGAGAGAAATTATAAATTCTATAGGAATTTGAGATAGTCTCGTTACAATGGCCATGAAGCTCGTTTACGTTCTGATACTTATTCCTTTGGTCTCGGCCGAGCTAGAAACTTTGTAAGTGTGCGATAACATTTTACTCATATTAAAAATTAGTATTTTAACTTTTCAATGTTGTTATTTTAACTTTATCTTTAATTTTTTAATGTCAATTTAAAAAATCTATTTTAAATCTCAGAAACATCTTCTAATTGTACGTTATATAGAATAATTATTTATACTTTGCTTATAAAAATTCTTTTGTTTCATTATGTAAAGCCTGTTTTATTTTTCAATTTAACTTCTTTTTAATATTATTTAAAAATAGAATCTACCTTAAATCAACATAAACATAAATTTTCAGTGATTATAGGAATATTGCTGAGAGATTTGCGGGTGCTAATATAAATGCTCTAATAGATCATTATATTCCTCAAATTTCGCAATTTATAATCGATCATGGCCTGGACCCCCTCAAGCTCCCGCCAACTACGAAAAAATTGTGGATGGTACGTAACATTCTTACTTAATTTATAAAAGGAACAGTTAAATCGCGAGATTATTTAATTATTCATTATTAATTATGTTTAATTAAACAACAAATATTTGTCGTAACACATTCCAACAGATCTTCACAAAACAAAGGTTCAATAATGCACTGTAAACTTGAATTCAGCGTGAATAGAGTAATGCCATCGAGAAACCAGTTACATAAGAGTCCGTTATTACAGTAAACGCGTGCACGTTCCCTCACAATTGCGAGAGATTGCCTCGAAAATCGGGAGAAAGCTGGGTTTCGGGGTCAAAGCTGGGATTTGAGGTCAGCGGGCCGCGATACGAAAGCGAGCGCACTGCTTAACCTCGGGGCCGTAGAAAGCGAAACCGAAGAGTTGGGCCTTGGACGAGAGCGAGAGTGAATCCCGGGATGACACTTTCGAACGATGACCTTGGACCGAGGTGGATCACGGTCGAACTCCGAGGTCAATCCTCGCCTCGTTTTCGCTGATCTCATTTTTGACGCTTCGAAGACTGACGCGCGATAGCTTTGAACTTGAACGAGAGAGTGAAATCAAGGTTTCACTCGGTAGATCGAGGTAGAAGGCGAGCTCAAGTTCAATGCCGCCGTTCAGCGCAAGTGCTCTTCCCGTATCACGTCGGGCGCGAATTAAGTCATTTATCTTACGGTGCTACCATGAAATTGAATAAGTTCCTCTCTCTGTCTCAAATAAAGAGAATATATTTCGAAGGCTTTTCGCGAGAATTGAGGATTATAGGAGTAAAGTATGTATTTTAGAAGATTAAATCATATTTTATAATTTTCTGTAAATCCATATTGCACAGAAGCTTACAATAATATTTGTAATATTTGTTGCAATGTTTTTGCAATATTGCTAGATTAGTCTATACTATTTGTAAAGTTTCCTTATCAACGTTAACATTTGTATATTAATCCTCCAGAGCTGATAATAGGTCTAATTGGAACTCACTCATTTATAAATCTCTTTATCTAAAATGTTAAAGAATTCAATTTTTTAATGCTATATCTACAAATTTAGATTATTTTTATCTATTACACATCAGTCTATTTCCTTGAAATTAATTAATGCCTTTTAATTAACGTAGATAAAATAAATAGGTCTTACAAACTCAACGTTAGTAACCGCGTTAAAAATTTCGCCGTCAACTCCGAAAGGTTAATAATTTTAACGTTTGCAAGCATCTTTATATATATTTTGCACTATTTGATTATTTGATAGAAGTATAATTAATTCATGTATAATTGAATAGAGGTTTTACTCGTCTGAAAATTAATGTCACATTTAAAAGCAAATTAATTACTTAATCGCGCCACTGCAGGCGAGCGATTAAGTAATTTAAATGTTTATTAAATATTGTCGATAAAGCGTACATTGGTTTCGCGTTACATCTTATTATTTTGAAGTATGCATAGAGATAATGCAGCTGCGATGATAAGCAACGAAATCTTATACGTCTCGCCCAACTACTCACATTGCCATGTAATTTCGCGTTAGATTTGGTTTCTGATAAAACATGTTTAACTCGATCACGATAACGAAATTATACATCACGATTTTATTAAGACGTAATATGCTTATTTTAATTTTATGCCAGAATCTTCCACAAACTTCGAAGTATGTCGAACCAGTTCCATACAAAGCTGACCTCTCTTTGCACTCTGGAATATTGAAACATTTGTCCGACTTGAAGCGTTATGGCGACGCTACTATGAATTACGAAGATAAATTATTTAAACTGAATATTGGCTTCGAATTTAAAGAATTAGAGGTAAAAAATTTTTCCATTCTCTCGTTTCTTTAACATAAGGGGCTTGTTAAATGAAATTACATTATACATAAGCATTTAGTTGTATACATATACAACACATTATTATAATATTCTGTCTTGTAAAAAAATAATTGTTTTTATATTCAGGTATTATACAATTTCGCTATAAAAATATTTTTTGTCAATTGTGAGGGCCTCATTTTAGCTTCAACAGAAAATGTACGCGCCAAATTTTGCGTCTCATACAACATATCGAATAAATCTTTATCTCTCGATGACTTCGACTTGCAACTTCCAAGGTATTGTGCATTAATCGCAAATTATTGTGTAGAATCTATCTCCTTTTCATGATATATTTATGTTTATTTATGAAGAAATGTTATTCTAAGCTTAATTACTCAATTATGCGTTATATTATTGCAGTCGCATTAAAGTTACAATCAAAAATAAGAAAGGAAATGTGAGTCATATAAAAACATTCATCGTAAAACTCATAATTCCATTCTTTAAGAACACTCTTGTGGAAACTATTCAGAAGGAAGGGGCAAAAGCAATTCAAATGTACCTCGATAAAATAAACAAATTTCTCAAAAAATGGGAAACACATAATGAAATAATGAATTTCATAAATGCACATAATGAAATAATGAATCAATATTCACCAATATTAATTTCTTAATACGATATGTTGTATAATTTATAATGTACGTTTATAAATACATTAAATTATTCTAATGTTTATACATTTATTTATGAGAATAGCCTCAAGTCCTTGAATGTCCTTAAATCCTGGCATTATTCTGGAATTTAATGTATCCTGAAAAACACCTACAATTTCAGGACTGACCTGGAATTTTTGTCATTCTTTTATAAAAAAAATTGGATTATGAAAAAAGAAAGAAATAAGAAATATTTCCCGCATATGCACAAGAATTATGTCGGTAACAATGAATTTTATGATCATTTTAGATGAAGCTTTAAAAGCAAGTGCGGACATTGAAAATTAGATTAAGAATTTTATAAAGTGATGTTTGTGATACGTTAATAAAAAGAAAAGTTGTGATTGCAAACGATATAAATCGAAAAAAATTTCCATATTTATAGATGCAATAAACGATTTGAAAATGAAAAGAGATTCTTGAAAGAGGGTATAACTTTTTTCGTGAATGTTTAGAGATTATTTTATTTCTATATTTTCTTATTGATAATTTTCGGTTTCCATAAAAAAAAATACGTAAGAAAATATAAAAATAAAACGCTCTCTGAACAATCGCGAAAAAGTAAAAGTTGTCCTTTTCTTTAACTTCTTAGACTAGTTTAGTTTTTATAAAAAATCCTTTAATTACATGTACCCAAATAGAAAACAAACCAAAAATTAGTCAGAAATTGGCCAGGAATTCTGGTTACTAGCTAGTTTCTGGCTAGTTTGACTGGCCAGAAACTGACAAGTTTGAGCGACGCTTGCTTTGCCAATAATTAGACAATAAAACTAGTCAATTTCTAACAAGATTTTGACTGGTATCTGACCACTTTTTGATTATTTTTTAAAGAGTTTCTATCTAGTTTCTTAATTTTTTTATTTTATGAACAGTTTTTAAGCAGTTGATAACCATTTTAAAAGCAGTTTATGGCTAGTTTCTGATCAGTTTTTAAGTAGTTTTTATAATACATTTTTTAGTCGTTTTCTAACCAATTTATGACTAATTCTAACTAATTTTCTGAGAAAATTCTAAATAGTTTTAACCTATTCTCAACTAGTTCCTAACCAATTCCCAATTTTTATAGAAATATAATAATAATTAAATTACTATAATTAAATTAAAGTAATATATTAAATTCTTTACGAATTTGATATGTTATATACAAATTAAAAATTAGATATTACGAGATATTACAAAATATTTACATGTAATATATAAGTTACGCATATCTTTCTTAACAGCTGCTTTTATATATTTATATTTTCTTTTTCGTTCTCTTGCTGCTGATAAACGTACATCCATTTTACTTAAATTGTTAAAATATTTACAATTCACGTTTTGCGTTTTAATTATGACTGACAATCGAAGAATCGAGTTTTTCTATTACTATAGTATATTTATTCCGTTACTATGGTAACAGAAAAACTCGATACTTCGA